TATGAATCAGAACACTCGTTATGAAAAGCCTGAAATAACTTGGGTGAAGGAATTTAACAACAATGTCTCTGTTCTTGGAAGTGTTAAAATTCTTAAAGAGATAAAAATTTGAATTCCTTAATCATCAAGTCATCTTTCCTCTCCACTAAACTGAAGGTTACTTAGTATCCCAGGAACACGTTTTACTCAGTTTTGTGGCGGTTGATTTCAGCTCAGAGAGTAGAGTGTTTCCGTAACTTCTCAGAAAACCTCAGCCTTCTATCTGCCCCTTTCCCACCTCCACCAACATAAGGAAAGGAAAAACTAAACAAGGTCCCCTGCGAATAAACCACCTGCTAGTTGATTTGTTCAGAGTTCATAGTCAAATGTGCAGTCTTGATACTACGCCATTCACGTGCTAAATTTCTCCTCTGAGCTGTTGGAACCCATTGCCAAAGATAGTCTGGGTAAAGTTAATGTGCTTACCTCTAAGTAATGAACGGAAGAAGCGATTGACTTTCAGGATGAATAGATCTGGGTTTGTGCAGATATATTCCGCCCTGTCACAGCATATTTGGCATATTAAATAGCATTTTTGTGATTGTTTAAATTATTGTTGTGATTTAAATTTTTCATCTCCTTTTAATTACTTAAGAGACACAAGCCTTTATAAAAGTGCTTCCAGAGAAATATCGCATCATTATTAAAACTTGTTGAGTTGCATATTCCACATTTTGCATATTAGATCTTGAGCTGCATAGCTTTATGGAGTGTTCTTTCAGGTGTGCATTTCTTTTTCTTCCTCAGGAGGTGTCTTAGTTGCCTCAGTTAAATTTCCATTAGAGTTTAAAATGTACAAACAGAATGTGAAGCTCAAGATAACAAAGTTTTGGCAATATTAAGTTGTTTAGATAGAACAAGGTAACTGTAGTTAGGTACCTTGATGGGCTGGGTGTCTTGATAATTGTCCTAGTATTGTCTTTATTTCTCTGTGCTACTCCACTATGAATATAAAATATGGTGTCATATTTAATTATACTAATATCTTCTGAACTAAATCTTTTTATTACACTGGTTTGTGGTATTTTGTGGTTTGCGTTTGGAAAATTTTCCTATATTCTCCAAAATAAAAACAAAATCTACAGTGATTCCAGGTTTGGAAAATGTATTCTGTCTTTTACAGTGATAGGTGAAAGAAATAGAGTCTGCTGAAGAAAAAGGAAGAAGTGACTGATCATGACCTAAAAGGCTTATGTGAAGAACAGATAATTTTGTGATTTTTTAAAAATTTTATTTATTTTTTTAGAAGTCTAAAAACTAGAAGCTGAGTTGTGCAATATCCTAGCTAAAAGTACAGGACAGTGTTGTTACAGTCATAATGGTTTGAAGTCAAGTTAATGTTTATAGATTTTAGTTTTATTTAGAATTAAGATGAATCATTTTAGTAGTGAATGAGTGGCCTCACTGCTCCATCATTAGGAGTTTAGCACAAGTTATAAAGATGTCATCATAAAGCAGCAAAATGGTCCACTGTTGGCCTGTAAAATCTGTGGCATTTGATGTTGCTTTTATCTGATCAGCTTACAGCAGGAGGCAAGGTTGGCACAGTAATGAGAGCAGCACAATTAGTGTTTGTTAGCTGGAGCCTGCGTTTCTGGGTGGTTACTGGCAAGAGACAAGGTTGGTGAAATGGCACAATATTAGACCATATTAGAATTAGGTTTCATTTCACTTTTGTCATGTCCTCAAAAACAAGATAAAGTTACCAGTGGTATTATCTGCTATCTGTGAACTGGTGCCACATCTTCCCTCCTACCTAAGGAATCTCCCATTTTCTGCCACCACCAGTGTACCACTGCTGGGAAGAATGATGGAGTTATACCTCTATATAAAGAATATTTAAAGGTGTTTCTAACTCATCTTTCCAGGTGTGTGAAGACCTCAGGAGCCTTATTTTCTGACCTTATCAATAGAGCACAATTTTAGTGTTTAAAAACTAACAGAGACATGTTGTACAGCATTGCCACGTAACATTTTTCTGAGACTTTGTGGTTCCATGGAATTATGGTGGGCATAGGTATAATTATGTATTAAATCAAACAGTAATTTATTTAATATCAGTAGAGAATCTGTTTCCCAAAGACCATTGCTATTATATTTGTCTCTTCTTTCTCTTTTCTTTGCTCATACGGTTTTTTGTTCTGTTCTTAACTGTCACATATTTTCTTTAGAGTATTATTAGAGTTGGTAATCAATAACTGTTTACTTTGCTGTTTTATTTTCCAGCTTCTAGTAAAACATGGTGGAGATTTGTTTGCAGAAAATGAAAATAAAGATACCCCATGTGACTGTGCAGAGAAGCAACACCACAAAGAGCTGGCTCTTAACCTGGAATCTCGAATGGTATTTTCACGTGATCCTGAAGCTGAAAGCATTGAAGCTGAATATGCTGCTTTAGACAAAAAAGAGGTCAGAGATAGTGGGGTGGTTAACACGTTTATATTTGTGACAGTTACATTGTGACAAAATTCTGCAGTTTCCAGTAGGTACTGTACTTTGTACTGCGTATTTGTAAACTGCTCGGTTGTAGCACAGCTCTTTATAGCTGTCAAGTTAAGCTTGGAGAACATAACATACATTGTCAAAACTAAAGAGAAGCTTTGTTCATATACTTACTTATGTGGACTGTGTTGAAATTGTTGCAGGTTGTGAGGTGGGAGGAAGTACTGTGAGGTCACTAAGCTGGGAAACGCTTTCTCTAAACCAAACATTTTTCACATATTTTTATTTCTTAAGGTGCCTTTCTGTCTAAAAATGAGGGCAGAAGAAATTCTGAAAAGGAGAAAATCTGTAGGATAGAATAAAGAAAATGTTCTGGTGGATCTTCCTAGACTAAGAATGAGTTGAATGTCACAAAAAACCAGCCGAGTAGTGCAGGATTTCAAAAACAGTGCGTTTACTTTCTTGTTTTATAACACAATGCCTGAGGGTACTGCATACCAAAACTTGTATGAAAAGCAGGTAATAAAATGTGGTGTTATTCTGAAGTCAGTTTTTAAAAGAGACAGACAATTCACTGACACAAATTTGCTTGAATTCTGGTGTGCATTATAGAATACTGTGATTTGATAATGATAATTTCACAAAAAAGATTCTGAGCAAAAGTTCCCAGCCTCATCCATTATCAAATTTTAATTAACTAAAAGTCTAAATAAGATTACATGGATAAATTATATAATTCAGTAAATATTACAAACTAATTCTGTGTAAATTAAAGGACAATAGAATTCTGTGTGGCTACTCCATTCAAAAGTAGCATGGCCTTGCCTTTCACTAGCTTAGCCCACTTATGGCTAAAAAAAATTATGACACTTAAAAAAAAAAAAATCAGTGAGTTTTAAATATGAGTAGGTTTTGATCACATTGGCAGTTTCCCTGAAAAATGCCATGCATGGTCACTTTTTTTGAAAGTCAGAAAGTCTTTGTACTGTTAAATTAATTTTCTGACTCATATTCTTGAATAAATTAAAATATAAACAAGCTTAGTTAGATTGTTTATTCCTAGGTGAGAAGTCTTGAGATGAGGTTTAATATACTCAAATTTTACACTGAAATAGCAAATATAATTAACTCCTTTTAGTTTCTCTGAATATTCCCATATAGAGATACCCAAATTATTATGAGTATAGTTTGAAATTATATTTTCTCTCTTTGCAAAACCACTTTAAAAGACTGCTACAGTTTCCTGTCATGGTTGCACTTTGGCACTCCTTTGCTTGTAGAAGTACTATTTGGATATTTTGTCAAATAGATCTAGCAATGATTTGGCTTAAAGGAAGAAAAAGTTTTAAAGAGCATTAATATATAGTTGCTTTATTTAACCTGAATAATTTTTATCATTATATTTATACAATGGGTTTGTTGGCATATGTAGCAGCACAGCTAAGAGAATAATGAACTTACAAATATGGGGGCAGGGGGCAAATCAAGAACCATCTGAACAGGCTTTTCAGCAAGAGGAAATAATGTCTTGTGACTGTTCAAGGTAGATGCTCAGAGCAACATCAGCTTAAAGACTTGATACTTCGAAAAGACTCCATTAAAAAGTAATTATGTTCTTTTGGGGTCACTTCACTGAGGCTGTTAAAAAATACAGTTCAGTTCCTCATTTGACTCATTTTTTGCAAAGTTGTTGAGCGTGAGAACTGAAATGCAGCCAGGCCTGCAGACCTAGATGCATCTGGCATACCATGGCAGCTTTTCCTGCATGTTTGAAAGGTGCACAAGCCAAAAAATGCCGGCCTGGAATCTGGTAAACCAATTGGTGGTCTTGGGACTTCAGATAGAGCTCCTTTCTTTTCCCCTCCCCACCTTTCTTTGTGACTTTTCAGTGGGATAAGCTCTCTAACTTGTTGTATAACTGGAGCAGCACAAGCACTAGCGTAAGAGAGATGCCAGCGAATGTAGCCAAGGGAAGTTAATTTTTTAATCTCTACCCTCAGAGTGACCATAAGCAGATGAAAAAAACAGCCTTGAAAAGACTAGCACTGAACTGCAATCAGAGTGACTGACTGCATGTTCTCATCCTCCAGATCTGTGGACAAGGGCAGTGAAAGCTGCACTTGGCACTGGCTGTGGTGTTGCCAGCAGCTGTTGCCTTAATGGAGCATGAGAAGTGATCCAAAAGCCATCCTGAGAACACATGCCCTTCACCAAAATTGCTCCTCAAAGATGCTCCTCTGCCTCTTTTCTTTTGATTTCATCTTAAAAAAATAATAAACACTGAGGGAAGCAAGCGTGTGAAATGCTTGTTTAACATAGTATTAAGATTGTAGTTTTTCAGTGATGCCCTTTAACATTCTTCCAAAACACAAGTTGTTAATTCATAAAGAATTAAAAAAATTGGGAGCATCACGAAATGCATTTTCAGAGTGATTTCATCTCTTGAATGAAGGTTAGAGATAAAGGGAAAACATTTTAAAAACATGAATAGAATTTCTTCCCAGACAAAACAGCCAAATGGGCTTAACACTGGTGTCAGTCGCATTGGAATGATAGTACCCAATACCTTCCACGTTTACAGCAGAAAATAATCCTCTTTTTCATATAAAGCAAAAGGTTGTTGTAGTGCCCTGTGCAGTGTCGTTGAATTGTGCATGTTTAGAATAGTAACAAAGCTTCTTTTCTGATGTTAAGAACTAGTTTGTGTTGTTCCGCACACTGAAGTATCACCAAGGAATTATGTCAGTGCTCATATTTAGAATTGAAACACTTGTAATATTGAAAAAAGTGACTGGCACATAGCTTTCTTTGATTACAGAGACTCACAAGCCACAAGAAATAAGTTGCTGAATAGACCCATGTTTCAAGTTTGAGAGCCTGACAGCACAAAGCAGTTCTTCGCACAGTTCAGGTTACTCCTTCCAGGTGCATTTTCTGAGTAAAATCCATTTCTGTCATGCAGTTACCCAACCTTTGAAAATCTGATTTTACTACAGTGCTTCCTGAAGCATATTTTTAAAGCAACATTTCTATTTTACTTTTGGTTTTGTACCTCAGACATTTCTAGTGGTCAAATTAGAGACTGCAGTTAAAGGTGGGTAGCAAACAGGCCCTAATAGCTTTGAAACACAAACAAGTTTGTTAAGTGTGTTTCCTACAAAATGCAGTTTGGAAGGAAAACAGTACACCAACACACATATTAGCTGTATTTCCCTA